TTTCTCCCAAACTCCACCAGTATTCACATTTGGGCATATTGAGTATTTGTGCCAAGTTTGGTCCAGATCCCTCATTGTTTGAGTCCACAGTGCTCTCTGGATGTAGGTGAACTACAACTCCAAAACTCAAGGTCAATGCCCACCAAACCCTTCCAGTATTTTCTGTTGGTCATGGGAGTTCTGTGTGCCAAGTTTGGTTCAGTTCCATCATTGGTGGAGTTCAGAATGCTCTTTGATTGTAGGTGAACTATAAATCCCAGCAACTACAACTCCCAAATGACAAAATCAATCCCCTCCCCCACAACCCCACCAGTATTCAAATTTGGGTGTATTGGGTATTTGTGTCAAATTTGGTCCAGTGAATGGAAATACACCCTGCATATCAGATATTTACATGACGATTCATAACAGGAGAAAAACTAGAGTTATGAAGTAGCAACAAAAATACTTTTATGTTTGGGGGTCACCACAACATGAGGAACTGTATTAAGGGGTCGCGGCATTAGGAAGGTTGAACAACACTGCCTTACAGCAACACACCCAGAGCTTGCAGATGGTAAACAAAACCCTTTGGACTAAATACAGACATTCTCTCGCTGTCCCTGCTTGCTTAATTGCTCCATTTTAAAAATAAATAAGTCCTGAAATTCCTGAATATGCTTTTAGGGATGCTTCCACGATTCTCCTGGTCCTAAACTTTCAGTGGTTTGTCCTGGTTACATGGCAAGCTTCCCAGAGATCTGACGGTAGAGGAAGGGGCATCAATATTTTAAGAAATCATCAAATCTTCATGTAAATCACTCTTCCGTCACCCCTCTCTGTGACATTCAAGGACATCTGGCCTTGTGATTTATTTAGTGGAAGTATTTTTCTCTCGCCTCCAAGCTCATAAGGGCTCCTGGGCAAATTAAAATAAACAACTAAAACAATGCAAAGATGAAACAGTTTCAAAAACACATCAAAACTAAAAGCAGTCTTAAAAAGATAGAGAATCTGTAGTTGTCATTATTATCTGATGGACAGGGATGTAACTTTTAGACAGAGCTCTTAAAGGTGTATAAGGAACCTGGGGGAAACTATACCAGCTGATTGCCGTTAATTATAAGGAACTTAGCAGGGAAAGGAACGGGTTTTTTTTAAAAAAATAGTGAATCCCACAAACTGCCAACCAAATTATATATAGGTGCAGGAGAATTTTTAAAACAGGAAATAGGCAACTGGGAGATCTTGAAACCGTTTCTTCAATTGTTTTTGCTGCCACCTTTTAGTTTGGTATTAAGGCTGAGTTGTATGTGAAGAGTATACTTAGTAACACCCTTTTGTAAAGAGTGAAAGAAGCAGGCAAAGCAAGCTAGTAAGAAGGAAGGCAGGAAAGAAGGAAAGCAAGGAAAGAAGCAAGCAGGCCAGATAGGAAGGAAGGAAGGAAGGAAGGAAGGAAGGAAGGAAGGAAGGAAGGAAGGAAGGAAGGAGAAGACAGAGGAAGGAGGAAGTAAGCAAACAAGTATGAAAGAAGCAGGAAAGCCAAGAAGGGAGGGAGGCTAGAAAGGAAGGAAGGCCAATGAAGAGGTAACCAAACAAAAATGAAAGAAGCAGGTAAGCTAGCAAGACAGGCTAATGAAGACGTAAAGAATGAAAGAAACTGGCAAGGCAAGCAAGGAAGGAAGGAAGGAGAAAGCTATCATAGAAGGAAGGAAGGAAGGAAGGAAGGAAGGAAGGAAGGAAGAAGGAGGAAGAGGAAGGAGAGAGGAAGGCCAATGAAGAAGAAAGGCCAATGAAGAAGTAAACAAGCAAGAATGAAAGAAGCAGGCAAGACAACAAGAAGTCAGGCAGGAAGTAAGACAGGCTAATGAAGAAGAAAGTGAGAATGAAAGAAGGAAACAGCAAACAAGCAAGCAGGCAAGCAAGCAAGCAAAGAAGTTAGGCAGGATTTTAGATAGGCTAATGAAGAAGTAAGTGAGAATGAAAGAAGGAGGCAGGGTGGCAAGAAAGAAAGTAGGCAAGCAATAATGAAAGAAGCAAGCAAGCCAGCAAAAAGGAAGGAAGTCTAACTACAAATAAATATGCAAACAAGCCAAGCAGAAAGGCAGGCCAATGAAGAAGTAAACAATGAAAGAAGCAGGCAAGGCAGGCAAGAAGCCAGGCAGGAAGAAAGAGAGGCTAATGAAGAACTAAAGAATAAAAGAAAGAAGGAAGAGGAGAAGGGAGGAAGGGAGGGAGGGAGGGAGGGAAGGAAGGAAGGAAGGAAGGCAGGTAGAACAAAGGCCAATGAAGAAGTAAACAAGCAAGAATGAAAGAAGCAGGCAAGACAACAAGAAGTCAGACAGGAAGTAAGACAGGCTAATGAAGAAGTAAGTGAGAATGAAAGAAGGAGGCAGGGTGGCAAGAAAGAAAGTAAACAAGCCATGATGAAAGAAGTAGGCAAGCCAGTAAAAAGGAAGGAAGGAAGGCTAGCTACAAATAAATAAATATGCAAACAAGCCAAGCAGAAAGGCAGACCAATGAAGAAGTAAACAATGAAAGAAGCAGGCAGGCAGGCAAGAAGCCAGGCAGGAAGAAAGAGAGAATGAAGAACTAGAGAAGGAAAGACAAAAGAGAAGAAAGGAAGGAAGGAAGGAAGGAAGGAAGGAAGGAAGGAAGGAAGGAAGGAAAGAAGAAGGAAGAAGAAAGGTCAATGAAGAAGTAAACAAGCAAGAATGAAAGAAGCAGGCAAGACAACAAGAAGTCAGGCAGGAAGTAAGACAGGCTAATGAAGAAGTAAGTGAGAATGAAAGAAGGAGGCAGGGTGGCAAGAAAGAAAGTAAACAAGCCATGATGAAAGAAGTAGGCAAGCCAGTAAAAAGGAAGGAAGGAAGGCTAGCTACAAATAAATAAATATGCAAACAAGCAAGCAGAAAGGCAGACCAATGAAGAAGTAAACAATGAAAGAAGCAGGCAGGCAGGCAAGAAGCCAGGCAGGAAGAAAGAGAGGCTAATGAAGAACTTAAGAAAGAAAGAAACAGGCAACGCAAGCTAGCAAGAAGGAAGGAAGGAAGGAAGGAAAGAAGAAGGAAGAAGAAAGGTCAATGAAGAAGTAAACAAGCAAGAATGAAAGAAGCAGGCAAGACAACAAGAAGTCAGGCAGGAAGTAAGACAGGCTAATGAAGAAGTAAGTGAGAATGAAAGAAGGAGGCAGGGTGGCAAGAAAGAAAGTAAACAAGCCATGATGAAAGAAGTAGGCAAGCCAGCAAGAAGGAAGGAAGGCTAGCTACAAATAAATAAATACGCAAATAAGCAAGCAGAAAGGCAGGCCAATGAAGAAGTAAACAATGAAAGAAGCAGGCAAGGCAAGGCAAGAAGCCAGGCAGGAAGAAAGAGAGGCTAATGAAGAACTTAAGAAAGAAAGAAACATGTAAGGCAAGCTAGCAAGAAGGAAGGAAGGAAGGAAGGAAGGAAGAAGGAAGGAAGGAAGGAGGGAGGGAGGGAGGAGAGGGAGGGAAGGGAGGGGGAGGAGGGAGGAGGGAGGGAGGGAGGGAGGGAAGGAAGGCAGGCAGGAAGGAGAGAAGGGTTTGAAGAAGAGAGGCCACTGAAGAAGTAAACAAGCAAGAATGAAAGAAGCAGGCAAGACAACAAGAAGTCAGGCAGGAAGTAAGACAGGTTAATGAAGAAGTAAGTGAGAATGAAAGAAGGAGGCAAGGTGGCAAGAAAGAAAGTAGGCAAGCAAGAAGAAGCAAGGAGTAAGGCAGGCCAATGAAGAAGTAAACAATGAAAGAAGCAGGCAGGCAGGCAGGCAAGAAGCCAGGCAGGAAGAAAGAGAGGCTAATGAAGAACTAAAGAATGAAAGAAAGCGGCAAGGCAGAAGAAGGAAGGAAGGAAGGAAGGAAGGAAGGAAGGAAGGAAGGAAGGAGGGAGGGAGGGAGGGAGGGAGGGAGGGAGGGAGGGAGGGAGGGAGGGAGGAAGGAAGGAAGGAAGGAAGGAAGGAAGGAAGGAAGGAAGGAAGGAAGGCAGGAAGAAGTAAACAAGCAAGAATGAAAGAAGCAGGCAAGACAACAAGAAGTCAGGCAGGAAGTAAGACAGGCTAATGAAGAAGAAAGTGAGAATGAAAGAAGGAGGCAGGGTGACAAGAAATATAAATATGTGAGAGGAAGCCACAGGGAGGAGGGAGCAAGCTTGTTTTCTGCTTCCCTGGAGTCTAGGATGTGAAACAATGGCTTCAAACTACAAGAGAGGAGATTCCATCTGAACATGAGGAAGAACTTCCTGACTGTGAGAGCCGTTCAGCAGTGGAACTCTCTGCCCTGGAGTGTGGCGGAGGCTCCTTCTTTGGAAGCTTTTAAACAGAGGCTGGATGGCCATCTGTCAGGGGTGATTTGAATGCAATATTCCTGCTTCTTGGCAGGGGGTTGGACTGGATGGCCCATGAGGTCTCTTCCAACTCTTTGATTCTATGATTCTATGATTCTATGAAAGAAACAGGCAAGGCAAGCTAGCAAGAAGGAAGGAAGGAAGGAAGGAAGGAAGGAAGGAAGGAAGAAAAGAAAGAAATAAAGAAAGAGAAAGAAAGAAAGAAAGAAAGAAAGAAAGAAAGCAAGCAGGAAGGCAGTAAGGGAGGAAGGAAGGCCAAGAAGAAGGAAGGCCACTGAAGAAGTAAACAAGCAAGAATGAAAGAAGCAGGCAAGACAACAAGAAGTCAGGCAGGAAGTAAGACAGGTTAATGAAGAAGTAAGAGAATGAAAGAAGGAGGCAGGGTGGCAAGAAAGAAAGTAGGCAAGCAAGAAGGAAAGAGAAAAAGCAAGCTAGCAAGAAGGACCGAGAAAAAGCTGGCCAAGTAGGATGAAAGGCCAGGTATGAGAGAAGAAGGCAAGGAATGAGAGAAGACTAGCCAGCAAGCAAGAAGGTATGCAGAAAGGAAGGAGAGGGAGCTAGCCAGCAAGGAAACAAACAAGAAGGAAGGGATGGAAGAAGGGCAGTTGGAGATAGCAAGCCAAGAGCGAGCAAGAAAGAGAAGTCGGGAGGGAGGGCGAGAGGGGAGAAAGAAGGCGGGCCATCATCTGTCCCAGCTGGGGAAGCCCAGAGAGCCACCCGGCCCGCCCTGGAGCAGCTGGAGGAGGAGGAGGAGGAAGAGGAAGAAGAAGGGGTTGGGTGTTTCCTGTGCAAGGGAGAGCTGATATCACACACAGACACGCGCAAAGGCACACACACACAGAGAGAGACAGACACGCGCAGCAGGCTCTTTCTCCGGCGCCTGGGTGGGACTCGGCTCTTTGCAGCAGCAGATTTCGCCTTCCCTGGAGAACCTCCATCCTCGCTGCTCCAGCCATTGATTGAGGGCTCGCTTTCCTGCTTCCCAGGTCGCCCAGCTGCCCATCCCCACATCTGGATCCCGGAGGGGGAGGAAGACAAGAAGGAGGAAATAGGAGGAGGAGGAAGAAGAGGAGAAGAAGCGCGGTGGGCGTCGACCGCTTCCTTCCCGGTAAGCCAGCCAGGAAAGCAAAAGTAGCAGAGATGTGTGCCTTTGGCGAGTTGGTTCCTTCATCTGTACTGGAGGATCGGGACCTGGGAGGGATGTAACGCCGTTCCTAGGCTTGTAACGCCGTTCCTCCACCCGTTCGTCGTGCCTCCAGGAAATGAGGCGCAAGGATCCAAAGAACAGGGGGAAATGCATCCAAAATGAATGTGAAATGTATTGTCGAAGGCTTTCGTGGACCTGAATGTGAAATGTGTGCCCTATTTTAGGAAATAGGGGGGCTGAAGGATAAGGGAGGAAAGGCACCCCCCTTTTGCAAGCCAGGGATTGGGGAAGAAGGGTCTGGCTTCCGGAGGGAGAGGTCTCCACCCCAAAAGGAGGCACGAGATGGAGATGGAGTATTTTCTTCCTGTGCGTAAAAGGCTTGTGCGTAAAAGGCCGGGTTTTGGGGTGTCTCGGGCGGGGCTTTTCTGGGGGCAAACTCCATCTTTTCTCCCATCAGACTGAGTTGGGAAAGGACTTGAGGGTCACACCTCCCTCTTCCAGAACCCACGGCTCCCACGCTTCCCCCAAAAGGGCTCTCCAAAGGTACCAGAGATGGGCACCTTTGGAGAGCCCTTTTGGGGGAAGCGTGGGAGCCGTGGGTTCCCTTTGTTCGTGGAAATCCACGCCTCCCTCCTGTGGGTTGAGGATGGAGAAAGGCTGGTCTTTTTTTTATCTAGGTCAAATGCCACCTCAGGCTGCTTCCTTGGCACTGGCATCCCCCCAAAAATCCCCAGAAAGAGAGAAGAGCCATGGCTCCTCTTCCTTCCAAGCTTCCAGTTGGTCTTTTGGAACAGATCACAAGGCTTTCCTGTACATCAACAGCATTTTTGAAAAACAGAAGCTGTTTCCGAGAGGTCCTCTGGGCATTTTGTTTTATTTTACATTATTTTTAATAATGTTTCAACATTTTGGGGAAAACCCATTATTTTTGAAGCCGATTTTAAAGGACCCCTTCCACACAGTTGCATCAAATCCCACAGGATCTGCTTGGAACTGGAATATATTTATTAATTTATTTATGAGCTTTATTGGGTGCCTCAAAGCACCCTCCTTAAAAAACTAAACATGTTTCAACATTTTGGGGGAAACTCATTATTTTTGAAGCCGATTTTGGAGGACCCCTTCCACACAGTTGCATCAAATCCCACAGGATCTGCTTGGAACTGGAATATATTTATTTGTTTATTTATTTACGACATTTATATGCCACCCTTCTCACCCCGAAAGGGACTCAGAGTGGCTTGCAAGATATATATACATAGGTAAAGGTAAAGGTTTTCCCCTGACATGAAGTCCAATCGTGTCCAACTTTGGGGTGTGGTGTTCATCTCCATTTCTAAACCGAAGAGCTGGCGTTGTCCATAGACACCTCCAAGGTATTTGGGACTCAGAGTGGCTTGCAAGATATATATACATAGGTAAAGGTTTCCCCCTGACATGAAGTCCGATCGTGTCCGACTCTAGGGTGTGGTGCTCATCTCCATTTCTAAACCGAAGAGCCGGCGTTGTCCGTAGACACCTCCAAGGTATTTGGGAGTCAGAGTGGCTTGCAAGATATATATACATAGGTAAAGGTTTTCCCCTGACATGAAGTCCAGTTGTGTCCAACTCTGGGGTGTGGTGCTCATCTCCATTTCGAAGACGAAGAGCCGGCATTGTCCGTAGACACCTCCAAGGTATTTGGGACTCAGAGTGGCTTGCAAGATATATATACATAGGTAAAGGTTTTCCCCTGACATGAAGTCCAATCGTATCCGACTCCGGGGTGTGGTGTTCATCTCCATTTCTAAACCGAAGAGCCGGCGTTGTCCATAGACACCTCCAAAGTCTTTGGCCAGCATGACTGCTTGGATCCCGTTACCTTCGTGCCGGAGCAGTAGCTATTGATCTGCTCAGATTTGCATGTTTTCGAACTGCTAGGTGGTTATTATTATTCTTATTTACAGCTTTTATATTCCGCCCTTCTCACCCCGCAGGGGACTCAGGGCGGATTACAGTGTACACATATATGGCAAACATTCAATGCCAATTTTGACATACAACATATACAGACATAGACAGAGGCTATTTAACTTTTTCTGGCTGCCAGGGGAGCTGTCGCTTTCATCGTCCATCTGCGACGCTGATGAAGCACTTCCGCATTCCCCTCATGCTTCCTCACTGGAATGCTTTGCTGGAGTCTTCTTTATGCCCTCATAAATCAGTTAATTTAGCCTCCCCACACTTTAAGGTGGTACCTTATTTTCCTACTTGACAGATGCAACTGTCTTTCGGGTTGCAAAGGTCGACAACAGGCTACATATAATTGGTTGGAAACCCACTCCAACCTGGGCTGGCTTCGAACTCATGACCTTTTTGGTCAGAGTGATCTTAATGCAGCTGACACTCAGCCAGCTTTGCCACAATCCCGGTTGGCAGAAGCTGGGGCTGACAGCAGAAGCTCACGCCGCTCCCCATATTCAAACCTGCGACCTTTCGGTCAACAAGCTCAGCAGCTCAGCGCTTTAACTCACTGCGCCACCGGGGCATACAATATATTATATTATTAGCATAGTACAATATCAGTATTAAATATTGCTATTTTGTACTATACCATTATATTGTAATATTATTAGTAATATTACATTTAATATAAATATATAATTATAATATCTTATTAGTAGTATTATATTGCATTACATTGTGATATTATAAATATTGTATTATATACAATATATTATATTACATAATATTATATTATTAGCATAGCACAGGAGATAAGGTGGAACTGTCTTCTGCCCACCCCCACCCCCAGTGTGGCAGTGTGGACTCAGATAATCCAGTTCAGAGCAGATATTGTGGGATTTTCTGCCTTGAGATTCTGGGTTATATGGCTGTGTGGAAGGACCCTCAGATATATGGCCATGTTCTGGAGGCATTTTCTCCTGATGTTTCACCTGCATCTATGGCAAGCATCCTCAGAGGTAGTTGCCATACCTAGTTGCCATACTGAGGATGCTTGCCATAGATGCAGGCGAAACGTCAGGAGAAAATGCCTCCAGAACATGGCCATATAGCCCGGAAAAACCTACAACAACCCAGTGATTCCGGCCATGAAAGCCTTCGACAATACATTGACCCTCAGATAATCCAGTTCAAAGCAGATCATGTGGGATTTTCTGCCTTGATATTCGAGGGCAGCATTTCTCAACCTGGGGGTCACTAAGGGGGTGTCAGAGGGGTCACCAACGACCATCAGAAAACACAGTATTTTCTGTGGGTCATGGGGGTTCTGTGTGGGAAGTTTGGCCCAATTCTATCATTGGTGGAGTTCAGAATGCTCTTTGATTGTAGATGAACTACAAATCCCAGCAACTACAGCTCCCAAATTTGACAAAATCAAATTACAGTTATGAAGTAGCAACAGAAATAATTTTATGGTTGGGGGTCACCACATGAGGAACTGTATTAATGTTGGATTTTCCGCCTTGATGTGCTGGGATATAGGATTGTGTGGAAGTGTCCTGGGTTATATGGCTGTTTAGATTGGCCCTCAGATAACCCAGTTCAGAGCAGATATTGGGAGTGATCCTGGACTCATCGCTGAGCCTGGAGCCCCAAGTTTCAGCGGTGGTCAGGGGAGCTTTTGCACAATTAAAACTTGTGTGCCAACTGCGCCCGTACCTTGGGAAGTCTGACTTGGGCACGGTGGTCCACGCTTTGGTTACATCCCGTTTAGATTACTGCAACGCTCTCTACGTGGGGTTGCCTCTGAAGACTGCCCGGAAGCTTCAATTAGTCCAACGTGTGGCAGCCAGACTACTAACGGGAGCGGGGTACAGGGAGCATACTACTCCTCTGTTGCGCCAGCTCCACTGGCTGCCAGTCAGCTTCCAAGCACAATTCAAAGTGCTGGTCTTAACCTATAAAGCCCTAAACGACTCCGGCCCAATTTACCTGTCCGAACGTATCCTCCCCTATGAGCCATCAAGATTGCTAAGATCGTCTGGAGGGGCCCTGCTCTCGATCCCACCGGCCTCACAGGCGCGGCTGGTGGGGACGAGAGACAGGGCCTTCTCGGTGGTGGCCCCTCGACTCTGGAACTCCCTTCCACTGGAGATCAGAACTGCCCCTTCGATCTTAACGTTCAGGAAACAGGTGAAAACTTGGCTTTGGGGATTGGCATTCGACGAATGAGCCACGATCCTGTGATATGGATGGATGACGACGAATAATGATTTTTGATGACGACTGACCACTGTAATTATATGATTGTATTTTGCTATTTTAATGTTTTAGTGTGATTTAGAATATGATGTTTTAATGACTGTCTGTAATATTGATGTTGGAAACCGGCCTGAGTCCCTCAAACGGAGGTGAGAAGACCGGTATACAAAACTGCTAAATAAATAAATAAATATTGTGGGATTTGCTGCCTTGAGATTCGCTTCCACACAGTCCTATATCCCAGAACATCAAGGCAGAAAATCCCACAACATCTGCTTTGAACTGGGTTATCTGTGTCCATACTGACATATATTCCAGTTCAAGGCAGATGATGTGGGATTTTATTCAGCTGTTTGGAAGGGGCCTGGGTTACATGGCTGTGTGGAAGGGGCCTGGGTGTTTTGCTTTGTTTTTCATTTATTGATAGAGTTACAAGCTGGGTAGATGCGGGGAATGCCGTGGATGTGGCGTACCTGGATTTCAGTAAGGCCTTCGACAAGGTCCCCCCATGACCTTCTGGCAAGGAAACTAGTCCAATGTGGGCTAGGCAAAACTACGGTGAGGTGGATCTGTAATTGGTTAAATGGACGAACCAGAGGGTGATTCTCACCAATGCTTCCTCTTCATCTTGGAAAGAAGTGACGAGTGGAGTGCCACAAGCAGGGTTCCGTCCTGGGCCCGGTCCTGTTCAACATCTTTATTAATGACTTAGATGAAGGGCTAGAAGGCAGGATCATCAAGTTTGCAGACGACAC